TGTTGTTAAGCTCTTCAGAGACTCCTTTGCAGCTGGACAGCTGTCCAGTCTGCCACTGGCACAGGAGGAAAGGATGCTCCGAGCCCTGCCCCCTCCCCCTTTCTTGGGCTCTCTCCACACGCAGACTGAGCTCCAGGAGGGGACAGTTCCTTCTTCCCCCAGGCTGGTCTTGTACAGAAGCATCCAGGATAACCATGAGAGGATCAGCACAGTTCCCAACCGCTCCTCACCGCAGCGCTGCTTGCAGCACTCTGCAATCTGTCCCCCGAACAGGTCAGGCAGCCCACTGCATGTTGCCTCTCCCCACCCACATTTCCTCTTGCAGACCACCTACGGAGCTCACTCAACAACCGGATGGACTTGATCATTCAGAAAGCCAAGCCCAAGCTTCAGGACAGCGATGACATCAGCCATCTGGACATTCAGCTGAAGATAGAGGACTTCATCAGCCAAATGCAGCAGGCCCTGGGGCAGCCTTTTCCCCTGCAGATCACGGAGAAATTGTGCATGCTTCAGGAGTTGTTATTCATTGTCACTGCTACCTGATGGAGACAACCACTGCAGCAGGTGGCACAAAGAGCTTCATGTTTCCTCTGTAAAACCCCATCAAAACCCCCACCTCTTGCTGCAGTCTCCACTGTTAGATGTCATGTGCGTTTGTCTATACATTTCTTTGGAAAAATGTCTGGTTTACATTGTCTCTGAATTTCCTTTCAAACTTGCCTCATCCTACAGTTTTACAAGGCACTCTGTGCACTTTAAAAAAAAAAATTATTTTCCTATTTGCTGAGACTCTTCCATCTTTGTGCCAGCCCTGCCCAAAGGAAGTGCAGATCTCTGTCAGCTGTACCTTGGGAGAGCATTAGACTAACACAGCCATAAACTGACAATAGTTTCCACAGCAAGCAAATACCAAAATAGCTGCTCAATATTTAGGAAAAGGTGATAATATTTAAGGAAAAAAAGCAGGTGTGGGCTGCAGTGAGGGCATTCACAGTGCAGAGATCCCCAAGCTATGCTGGTCAGTCCTTGGGAAACAAACATTGCTGTTGCAGATTAAATACACCTACATGACTTTGCCAAAGGTGACTGGAACATCAAGAGGGAGGACTGGACAGCAGCATCAACTGAAGAGACTGCACCTCTTCCAGAAGGCACTGAATTGTCTCCAGTGCAGACAAGCACACGTGTTATGATGAATATTCAATTCAAATGCAACTCAAGTCACAGCTGAGGTCAGAGCAAACGAGCATTTCTACAGAAGGTCTCCTCAGACAGTTCAGAAGCAACAGAGGTTGGGAGCAGGAGAAAGACACCCAACATCACTTTATCTGCCCCTGTGGTGGGCCACCCTTGGCAGGGCCCTAACAAGGAGACCAAAGCCTAGGAGCATCGAGTAGCAGAGTCAGGGCGAGGAATGGAGCAGTCCTGATGCTAGTGCTGCACACACTGAAGGCCTGGTGCTTGCTTCCCAGCAAGGCTTCATGCAGAAGCCCGGCTTCAGTTAGCCCAGAGCTGTTTGGAAAGGTCTGACCTGGAGCTCACAGGTTTGCTCCTCCTGCTTTAGGAAGCCTCTTCCCAACTGCCAGATGTATAACAAACCACTCGTCTGCATGACATTGCACGTCTTAATCCAGGGATAAGCCATACAGGGGAAAGTGAAGCATGTTTTAGAAGTAGTAGCAAGAAGCATTCCCAACAGTGCAAACTCCCAAGTGCTCCCTGCTCCAGAAAGCTGCTCTTCCTGCATGATGTGCTCATTCAGATGTATTTTCCAGTTCAGTCCTTTCAACTGGACTAGACTTCTATCATTAGGCTAGAAAAGAAACTGCATTCCAGCAAGAGGTCCACAGCACAAGCTGCAAGAGAAGCAATCTCAGGAAGATGAAGAATCTCCATTTGAATAGCTCAAGAAAACACAAAGATTTCATGTTTAGTTTCATCTGCTTAAGCCCTAAGACAGGACTGAGTCTGGCTTTAAACACAGCCTCCCTGTCAAATAGGAATTTTACAGAGCAAACATTTTACCCCAGTGCAGGTGCTGCCAGAGCCTAATTAGGCAGAACTCTGACCCCCACACTCACTGGACAGTCCCACATTTCTTCCACAGACACTTTGCCAGTGCTAACACACACCACAGACCTCCATTCACAAGGATTTTATTTTCTTGTAACAAACAAAAAAATCATACACATTAGAGACATGAATACAGACAACAAATAAATTAATGTCAAATGAGAGACTGATTGCCAAGGTGCAAACGAATAGTGACAGTGAGAACTGCTTGGTTGGGTGGGAGACTTTCAACACAACACATCATTGGCAGTGCTGTTGAAGCTTGAGAGGAAGCAGAGCCACAAAACGTGCTTCTTCAGAGGGGACAGCAGCTAGCCAAGTGAGCCAACCCTGCCTCACCCTCTGGGAGGAATGTTTGGTTTAAGGCAGCTGAAACCCCAGAGCTCTATGGTTACCAGGTGTTAAGTAACCTCTGTATAATGTCCTGGCAACAGAGAAGCTTCCAGTACCAGATGCAAGGCTGCTGCTCCCACCTCACCACTACAGAAAGCCTGCTGCTGGCTGAGGGAGCTCTGCAGCACAATTGTGAAGTGCAGAAAGAAGAGACCTGTTTGCCACAGGACAGGTGAAGATTACAGAGCAACACTGCCTATAATGCTTAAGGGATTAGATAGCAGCCAGGAGTTCCTTCCACTTTTCATGAAAGCGGTGTTAGCTGTTCCCAGTAACTGGTTCTGACTAGGCCAAAAAATTACATACAGCTCTATCATAGCAAGGAGGAACATTTAGCCTTGATCTGCCCTCAGTCCTCCCCTAGCCCTGCAAAATGCATTTAATGCTGATGAAACAAGAACCCTATTTGAGAAGTGCCCCTGGTGTCCAATACACTTCTACATGATTCATACAAGATGCTAGGGGGAAAAAAAAAACTGAACAAAACCAAACCAGCAAATCAAGCAGCACCCAGAGTGCCAGAACATCTGTAAGTCTGTGGTCTAGGAGAAGGCAGGACAGTGTTGCTTTGCAGAAAGAAGAGAGGATGATTACTTGGTTCAAGCCACACCAGCTCTGGTCATTTCCACCTTTTTGGAAGAAGATAAAGAGCTGGGAGAAAATCAATTCTTCCTTATTACTGCCAAGCCCCATTAGATCCTGCTCCCTGGCTTTCTAATAAGAGCATCTTAGAATGGTCACTGCTCCACTTTTCCTTTGAAAAAATTCCAACAAATTAGTATTAGGTGTTAAACTATAAGGTCACACTGGATAGAAAGGGAGTGTCACATTTAAAACTGACCCACCACCACATGGTCCAGTTTTCAGTCCTTGCTTGTTTTCATCATTTTCTGCTGGTGTTTTGTATATGCCAGACAGAACCACGGACCTCCTGAGGGTACTCCAGCACCCAGCAGGACAAGACAATCAGACTACAGGTAGACAAGCAAGCCTGCTTGCACACCACATGCAGTTCTGTCCCACAAAACATGGTTCAAGGTTCTACTGTGGTGTAATGTGCCCAGAAGCACATTTAGTGCAGCCCAGCAGACCGAACTGGTGCAGTACAGCAGACAGGATGGTTTACAGTGGTTTAGTACTAGTGCAGGAGTTTTTCCAAGACTGGTTTTAGGACAGTCACAACTGTTTCCTTTTCTGAGATGAAGAGCTGGAAGGGAGATTTTCCTATTTTACTGCAGCACAACAGGACAGGGAAGCAGAGCCTAAGACACCCTGTAGCCCACTAAAGACACCAGAAGCATTCCTCCTAGAACCCGGTGGGAGTGAGCACATTTAGATCCCGTGGTTTGATATTATGGGAACGTGGAGATTGTTTCCTCCCTTCTGTGACTGGAATGTCCATTTTGGGTGGCTTGAAGGTGACTGGATCCTCTGACATCCTAGTAGCCTGAGCACGCATCAGCTCCATTGGGGATGGCTTCTGGGCACCCTTATAGGATTGGATGGTAAATCCTCCTGATGACCAAAAACAAACAAAGTCACAGCAAGTAAGAGCTAGGAAAACAAGCCAAGTCCTTTTGCCACTGCTGCCAGGAGCGAGCAGTGTCACTGATGCCCAGCACTGCAGAAAGCCTATGTAAGACCCAGGAGCTTCACGTCATCTAAAGCCTGCTCCACATATTAGAGGCTGGCACTTCCAGTTCTGGTTTTGCCACACAGCAGGGAGTAAAAAAGCCACATAAAAAACCTTCACACCTGCCCTTCCACTGCAGCTCAGTGCAAGTTATTTCTACTTTCAGGTCCTTGGCATAGGTTTCACCCAACTGCTTTATACTTAAGCACAGAAACTGTATGAACAGCACACGTTCACAAGGCAGTCCTAGAAAGTAACAAGCTAAGCAGGATAAGGCTCCAGAAATAGCTAATAAGTTTGCTGTGCCAGCTCTCCCCTAGCTCTTTCAGGGCAGGGGATTTTAGAGGACATACCTGGATCATTGGTGGATTTCTGGATGGCTTTGGGACCAAAAAAGCTCCATCTTTCAGATGGCAATCTGTCCCCACCAGCTTCCGTGGCAAAGTCTGGGCCAGTGATAGAAGTAGAGGATCCCTGACTAAACCAACCCCTAGGGAAAAATCATTGAGATGTATAAAACATGAAAATAAATACTTCAAGACATCCCACTGTGCCAGGAACTTTCCATGTAGTTATTTGGGGCAATTTAAATGATCTTAGTAGGTTTGTTACCACCCAGGATGAAGATATGTGCGCTTAAGTTCCACAAGCTTTAAACATTTGGATCTATCCAACGCAAATCCACAGCAGGTTCTGAATTTCATCCCTTAGACCCTCACTGGATAAGAATTTGTAGCAGTTCCCACCTCAGCAGCCTGTAGGAAACCAAAGGAGGCAGTGGTCTGCCAGAAGACAGTACCTGGTTTTATGCTTGGGAGAGGAGTGGGGAGTGCTGCTTGGAGTGGACTGAGCAGAAGTAGTCTGTTTGTCATCTTTTGTCATCTCTCCACTCTGCATTTTTAGCTTCTGTTAGGAGAGGCAAGAGAAACACAGAAGCAACAGAGCTTAAACACAAGACGTAAGAAACAAACAGCCAGTTTTATTGTCAAAACTGGACAATTGTTTGTATCACAGGAGATAAAGGATTTAAGTGTCACTTCACCTAAAGCTAAACCCAGTATCACAATACTTGCATACACCCCTTAAGCTTCCTTCCACATCAGATGTAAGTGTTTTGGATGTCCACTATGCTCAAGACACATCCTCCAGGCTAGAGGAAGGAAAGTAACACCTACAGCTCACTCCGCAATTCAGAGTCACTATCCAACAACAACGCACTGCTTCCACACCAGCATTCACAGGGAGGCTGCAGATGCAGCAGAGCTAGCTTACACATCGGTTCAGCTACCTGGTAGCAAGGCTAAGGGCCACAGCAACCATTTGTCTCCAGCACTTTTCAGAGCGACAAAGCCTTCAGTGCCACAAGTTCTCTAGTGAAGGTGAGACCAGACCTCGTACAGAAGGTACAAGGTCTGCAAGTACTAGACCTGAGAAATAATCCACACACATAACAGGATGGAAACACTAACATGAACTGCATTGCTCATAAAATAAACAGGAACCAGGTGCACGTGAACCAGGTTATTACAAGTCAGAGAGTACAAACACTTTGAAAAAGTCACCTGAAGGGCAGTTATAGTTCAAACACCAGCTACACGGGCACCTTCTCAGAATGTTTCCTGTGGCTACCCAAGCCACACTAATGCAATTCACCAACATCATTATTGAAACTTTAACCTTGTGGGAGTAAACTTGGAGAGTTCACTATTAAACTCCAACTGCAAGATTACTGTTGACAACTGAGCTCGTCAGAAACATGTCGAGTCAAGACTTTTGTCTTCATTTCCAGGAAGAGACAAGCCCAATTTCACCTGCCAACTTCTATAACAGATATGCATGGTTTACAAGTTCTCTTGGGACAGTTACACCAGTCCACTGCAAGGCACCATTTGAAGGTACAGCAAGGATCTACATTATGTGTAGCAATGTCCCCACTTGGAAAGATGACTGAGATAGTCTGACATAACCATGGGACATGACAGATTTCAGAAAAAAGTTTGTTTCAAAACTACAAAGGCTAATGCTATCTTTAAAACATAAGTGGGTAACCTTTTTACACAATGAGCTAAAAGCCTTTAGGGGAAGCAGTTTAAGAAGAGTCCTACAACATGCTCCAAAAGTTATGTCACCAGATAGGTCTTAAGCGAGTACACAACCTGCACAGAGAAAGACAATGCAAAACAAGCCTTACGTGGACTGCCTCAGCCACTCGGTGATACTTGGTCTCCTCAGTAGTGAGGCCTTTGTGAGGAGTGTAGCCAGCATCTCTCAGCCCTGCCTGCTGCTCAAAGCGCTGAATGCTCTCCTGAGTCTGCTCTGGAATGGACAAGAGCACATATTGACACAGAAATGCCACCACAAGCGTTTCTAGCAAAGAAAGGCAACTTCAGCAAACAAATGTAAGCCCCTTTTTTCATCATTCCTACCTACATGTGAGGAGTTGACAGAAGCAGCACGATGAAGCTAAGGAGATATTCTGACTTGAAAACTATCCTGAGTCACAGGGATAAGCAAGATGAACAGTGATGTGTCCCAAATCACCAGATTATAACAAGTGCAACACCTGTCATTAAACTCATCTCACTCAAGAAGCCACATCACTCCTAATTACAACTTCTTAAATCTAGGAGACCCCAATAAGCTGGATATTTTAAGTGGCCCTCTAGATTCAAGGGAGTTTTTTGGCCAAAAAAAATGAAGTCTTCTGAAAGACTGCCCACACTAGCTAATCTGACAATCACAGCCTTGCAGAACAGGTGTAAAGACTCCCAGTGATTCTAGATTAGGCACAATAAGCTATTTCAGCCAAATACAGAGCCAGCATCTAATACACTAACATGAGTTCTGAAAAATATAAGCACTTCCCTGCCACACCCCCCCCCCCCCCTGCATAAGATGTTCAACTCCCTAGTGGAACTAAGAAAAAAGTCAAAAGGAGTTAGAGCACAAAAAGATGACTGGAAAAGCCCAAAGTCCTTCCCATGTTAATATTGAAGTTATTTGCAGGGACAGTGCACTGTACACACAAGAAATCTAGAGAACCTTTGTTTATTTCCAACTTGTGACTGAGTCTTCCTGGGAGGTGTAGGTTGGCACTCTTGACTTCTTACTGCACAAGAACATTTTTAGGCCATTGTGGTTTTAGCTAGATTAGCATTTTATCATTAGACTAGAACAGGAGCTGCTTTCCAGAAGAAAGTCCATATTCCTGGATGTTATTTTTCTGATGCATTGGTTATTTTCTGATGCATTGGTTATTTTTGAGCCAAGACTGAAATAAGTACAAATGTGTAGCTACTCCAAAATACTGGTCTGAAAATCTAGAAGTCTTTGAAGGCACTGCTTGGAGGAAAAGATGAAGCTCAGATCCCAGCTGCTAAAAGAAGCAGCAGCAGGGACAGGATTAACACATGAATAACTCCTCTGGCTGCAGACAGGCAAGTCTTCCCTGCAAACATAACTGACCCAATTTGATTTTAAAGCATCATGATTTATGAGTTTTGTTGATTTTTTTAAAGTATTACTGTTAGCAAGACAGCTGCTGCTGCTATTAACTAACATAACAGCCAGCAAGCACTTCATTAGCACAGTATGTCAGCTCTCCACACCACTTTGGTTAATTTTAGAGCTTTACCCATCATTCAGAAAGAACAAGTTAATAAGCAAACAAAGTAGCAGCAGCAGCTACCTCTGCACTCCAGCAACAAGCTGGCATGAACTGCAGTGCCCTATGAGCAGCTCATGTACCCTGCACTCCTCCCTCATCACCCACCACCTGGAAACACAGAGGCAGTAAGTGCCACCTATTCCCTAGTTCCTTGCTTCCTCCTAGAAGGAAAAAATACCATACAGGTCAAGAACAGAGTTGGTCTGAACCCACAAGCTGTCCAGGAGCTCTGGTAGTTACCTTGAAGCATTACCAAGCCAAAGCACACTCATGTGCCCACACCCCCTTAGCCACCACATTAGAGGTGAGAGTTCTTACTTGTGATGAGAGAGTTCATGATGATGTGAGTGGCCTTGGCCTTCACCACAGGTACCTTGTTAACACTTTCGGTGGATGATGAAGGAGTTAGGACAGGTGCATTCATGTTAGCATCCCCTTCCTCAATCTGTGGGGAAGAAGCAGGGTAGAGCTTAAGATGAGAGAGTATCTCAGCACCTTGCCAGGACACATCTCTACTCAAATAAGACACAAGGCCCAGCTGTTCTAGCAGCTAGCCTCCATCCCATGGAAGAAACCTATACACTGTTCTCACTACAGCCCAGAACATTTAGAGCTTGAACCTTATAATTCTTAGCAATGAAGAAGAAACTTGCATTCAACATTTAAAAACCTACCAGGCTGAGAGCCAATAAGTCATTGGTCTAAGTACAGAAAGGTCAACAGGAAAGAAACCAGAACAGATCTACTTCCATTCTCATAACTGCAAACTGGACTTCAAGGTCAATTGGGCAAGAGCACCCTTCCAGAGACAGCTCAAACACAAGCTAAATACAGAATGGCAGTCACAGATTACAGACTGGTGTTTAGATCTTGTTTTCCCCCTCATTCCTTATATCAGTTTCTAGCTCAGTGTATCTAGTGGTCACAGCTCCACCACCCTAGCAACAAAGAACCAGACAATGAAAGCTAGAAAACAAGAAATCTTGCAAAACACAGACTTCCTCCTCCTGACACAGGAGTTGCTGTTCCCTGACTGGACAGTTTGCTTTTTGTGCCGAGCCACTTTAGGTTTTCTGCCACAAGAAGGATCTTAAAACAAAGTGAGGCAAAAAGTAGAGGTTAAGCTCAAAGGGATGCAGAGTTATTTAATTCATTCAACAACATTTAACTTTACTTCAGACTTAGAAAACAGCCTGTAAATTTAAAAGAGACGGTCCTGCACCCACAGCATCCCCACAGTCATTACACAGAACAGTTTGGGTTGGATGGGACCTTCAAAGATCTAGTCTGACCCCCCTGCTGCAGGCAAGGACATCTTTCACTAGATCTGGTTGCTCAAAGCCTTGTCCCACCTGATTCCAAACACTTCCAGGGATGGGGCATCCACAGCTTTCCGTGGGCAACTGTTCCAGCACATCACCACCCTCATCGTAAAGAATTTACATCCAACCTAAATCCAGCCTTTTGCTCTCATTTAATTACAGCTTGCAGCTTTTTTTACCCATAAACACCCCAAAGAGGCATGTTCCAGGAGCCTGCTTCTCTCAATCACACTTCAGCGTCCCCGCAACAGGGCCAGGCGGCAAAGCCGGTTCCCGGTCCCCAGCACCTCCCGAGGGCTCCCAGCAGTCCCTGCCGCGGAGGGCAGCTCGCCCGGTGCGGTGCGTCGGCCAGGCGGGAGGGCTG